CTCCCAGAGTGCTAGGATTACAGACGTGGGCCACGGCGCCCGGCCCCCTAAATATATTATTTTTAAATGCAATAAAAATTATACCTTATGGAGGACTGAGAATTTTCTATACCTTGATGTGGATGAATGTTGTCTGAGTGTATACATAGTAAAAATTCATCAAATTACATATTTATATTTAATGCAATTATGCACATTGATATAAGTATAATATTACGATATATATTGATTTTTGTCCATGGTTCCTGGCTGATAACTCCCATAGTACTTGTTACAGTCTTTTGTTATAGTGTTAGGTCACCCTAGGCCTCAGAAGCAGCCTCAGAAAACAGAATCAATCTCTCTCTCTCTCTCTCTCTCTCTCTCTCTCTCTGACCTTCTCCTGCCCTCCTATCACCTGCTCCTTTTCCTCCCCAAGGCAGGAATCTTCCCCCACTTTTCTGTCTGAGAGCTGGCCATAAAAAAATTCCTTAACCTACTTAGTCTGATTGTAGGTCATAAACCCCTCATTTCAGAAGGGGTTTTGCCTCATTCCCTGGAGGAAGGAACGCTGCACAGGGAGGCCAGGAAGAATCCGAAGAGGCCTGCTGGACTCGCCACTCAGCCTGGTGGTCTTAGATCATACCTTTTCGTCCAATCTCATTTCTACGTAGTTGTCAATCACGCCTATGTAATGAAGCCTCCACAAAAAGCCCAAGAGGACAGCTGAACACCTGGAGTTTCCTAGAGGGTGGTGCACCTGGGGAGGGCATGGGAGACCCAGTGCCCACCAACAACCACCCCTATACCTCGCCCTGTGCATCTCTTCATCTGTGGCCTTTGTAATCTCCTTTAGAATAACCCTGTAAACATTGTTCCCTGAGTTCTGTGAACCTCTCTAGCAAATGAATCCAACTCAGAGAGGGGATTGTGGGAACCCCAACTTGAAACAGGTGGGTTCTGGAGGCCCAGACTTGCAACTGGTGTCTGGTGGGGGTGGGGGGAGAGGAGGGGGGAGAGGTGGCGTGGGCAGTCCTGTGGGACTGAGCGTTCAACCTGTGGGATCTGATGCTGTCTCCAGGTGGATAATGTCAGAATTGAATTGGAGGACACCCAGTTGGTGTCTGTTGCAGAATTAATTGCTTGCTTGGTGGGTGGGGGAAAACTTCCACACATTTGGTCAAACAAATCAGAAAAAAAAATAATCCCATTAAAAACTGGGCAAAATATGTGAACTGACATTTTTCTTTTCTTTTTTTTTTTTTTTGAGACAGAGTCTCACTCTTTTGCCCGGGCTAGAGTGAGTGCCATGGGGTCAGCCTAGCTCACAGCAACCTCACACTCCTGGGCTCAAGTGATCCTTCTGCCTCAGTCTCCCGAGTAGCTGGGACTACGCCACCATGCCCGGCTAATTTTTTCTATATATTTTTAGTTGGCCGATTAATTTCTTTCTATTTTTAGTAGAGGCGAGGTCTCGATCTTGCTCAGGCTGGTCTTGAACTCCTGAGCTCAAACAATTCGCCCGCCTCGGCCTCCCAGAGTGCTGGGATTATAGGCGTGAGCCACCGCGCACGGCCTGAACCGATGTTTTTCAAAAGAAGAGAAACAAAAGGCCGACAAACATAAAAAAAGTTCCACATCATTTATCATTAGGGAAATCCAAATTAAAACCACAATGAGATACCAACTTACCCTTATCAGAATGGCCATTATTTAAAAAGCCAAAAAACATAGATGCAGTGGAAAGAGAATGCTTATACACTATTGGTGGGGATGTAAATTAGTACAACCTCTATGGAAAATAATATGGAGATTTCTCAAAGAACTAAAAATAGACCTCCCATTTGATCCAGCAATCTCACTACTAGGTATCTACCTGAAGGAAAAGAAGTCATTATATCAAAAAGACACCTGCACTCATATGTTTATTGCAGCACAATTCACAATTGCAAAGATATGGAACCCACTGATGTCTACCAACTGATGAGTGGATAAAGAAAACGTGCTATATATATGCCATGGAATACTACTCAGCCATCAAAAGGATGAAATAATGTTTTTTGCAGAACTTGGATGGAACTAGAGACCATTATTCTAAGTGAAGTAATCCAGGAACAAAATCCCAAATACTGCATGTCCTCACTTACAAATGGGAAATCTAAGCAATGGGTATGCATGATCATACAGAGTAGGGGGAGGTTGGGAGGGAGGTGTGGGATGAACAATTCCCTATTGGGTACAATTTACACTATTCATCTGATGGGTATGTTAAGAGAGCCCAGACATCACCACTAAACAATTCACCCATATAACAAAAAACCATTTGTACCCCCTAAATCTATTCAAATTAAAAAAAAAAAGGAACTATAAAAAGAAACAAGAAAGGAAAAAAAAAAAAAAAAGAGGTCACGTTGACTAATACTGCCACCTAGAGTTAAAATTCAAAATGGTCATTTCTTGTCTATAAGGAGAATACGAAAGGTCCTGGTTTGGGCAGGTCTTTTTTTTTCCCACTGACTTGTGCTGGGCCATCCTAATTGTCTTGTTCATTAGTGAAAAATCACTAGATGAATTTTCTAGGTGGCCATCTGGTGGTAGGTGGGATGGCAGTTGGAATATAATCAAAAACTAAGCTAATACATAGAGTCTGTTCTATTTTCCATTGTCCTAAGGGCTGGGAGCACAGAGTGTGGACCTGAACTCAGAACAATGGGGTTAAAGCAGGAGACGGTCCTGCTTTGGAAGAGGGCATTGGAAACTTGCAACCTCCCTACCTCTTCTCGGATGTTCTTCTAGCTGATCCTCGAGCATTTCCCTCAGACATCTTTTCCTCCTTCCTAACTGGTTTATTCTGTATCTCTCCCCAACTCCACTCACTCCACGGTGACATTTATCTGCTCATCCCGTCTCTATCCCCTTTCTAATGCCTCCCTCACCTCACACTGTGTCAGTGCTGGTTGGTGGGAAGAGGGTTTCCATCTGAGATCCCCCACTTATCTTACTATTTATCTTGAGCAAATCACTTACGTTTTCTGAGGCTTCAGTTATTCCCATCTCTGTGGGTATGTAATATGCATAGGGTGGTTGCTTAAACTGAGAGATGCGTTGAGAAAGAGACTGACATGTGGTAGGCGGCAAGCAAATTTTCTTTTCCTTCTCTCAGTCTCCTGCCCTCCATACATCACTGTTAGGGAAAAATTAGTAAAAAAAAATTTTAGTATGAAATATTTCAAAATATTGCCATGAAATATTAGGTACAAATAATATTCAAAGTTTGATTTTAAAGATATGATGACTATGAATTTCAATTATTTTTATTTTTACCTGGGTGTTCTCTGAGAAAGGGACACTCAGACACGTGGTGTAATAAAAAGAAAAACCATGGCTATTCCACTACTCATCTGCAAATTTGGGGCAAATGACTTCCACCTCTCCAAGCCCTCTTATGCCTGCTAATCTATGGTTACAAGGACACATTAACTAATGTAGCTGGAAGGATTTTGTAAAGTCTAAAGTAAATACTAATGTGAATAATAATTACTATCTTTTGTTTGCTCCATGTTATATCTCTTGTGGACATTCAGTAAAGATTTTTTTTTTTTGGTAGAGATGGGGTCTCACTGTGTTGTCCAAGCTGGTCTTGAACTCCTGGCTTCAACATCCTCCTGCCTCAGCCTTCCAAAGTGCTGGGATTAGAGGCATGAGCCACTGCCCCAGGCGATTTAAAAGAAATATTAACTGAAGATAGAATAATATGGCAGTGCAAAGTGAGATTAGTATTATTAATACATTGGGGGAGGGATGGGTACAAAGTACAGCATTTGTTGTAGGAGCCTGGAGGGAGGAATAATTGATGTAGGGTCCAAGAAAGTCTTCACAGAGATGAGATATTCGAGACATAGGTTTTTTTGTAAACAGAAATGGGAGAAAAGGAAATTCCACACAAAAGAGACAGAACTAGCAGAGGCACACATTTAGAAAAAAGCAACTAGGAGGCTGGGTGCCGTGGCTCACGTCTGTAATCCTAGCACTCTGGGAGGCCAAGACAGGAGGATCGCTTGAGCTCAGGAGTTGGAGACCGGCCTGAGCAAGAACGAGACCCCTGTCTCTACTAAAAATAGAAGGAAATTAGCTGGCACCATGGTGCGCACCTGTAGTCCCAGCTACTTGGGAGGCTGAGGCAGGAGGATCGCTTGAGCCCAGGAATTTGAGGTTGCTGTGAGCTAGGCTGACGCCACGGCACTCTGGCCTGGGCAACAGAGCGACACTGTCTCAAAAAAAGAAAGTAGTTCATTGTGACTATAGTCCGTGTGTGTGTGTGTGTGTGTGTGTGTGTGTGTGTGTGTGTGTGCGCTCGCGCGCGTGTGTTATCTGTAGCTGTTGGCGAGATGAAGATGGAAAGGTTGCTTACAAGCAGATCATAGAGGGCCTTAAGGAGAACACAACCACGAGGATCTTATCTCTCACCATTGTATTTCCAGTGCTAAAATCTGTATGGAAGACGGTAGGCACTCAGCAGCTTTTATTAAGCACGCTAGGCATTACTCTAACACTTTACATATTATGTATTGAATTATCCTAACATCTTAGGTTTGCTGAGCGCTGCCCGTATTTCATACATGTGACGGCTGAGGCACGGAATCGCTAAGTAACCCGACAAAGTGGCATGGCTCACAAGTGGCTTCATTAGGATGTAAATCCAGGTACTTTTCCTCGAGAGTCCTCTCTGCTCTGCAGCACTCGGAGCTCAGGGGGAGAGGTGTCAGGATGACTTGGGGCCAGCACTGCGCTCCGGGGCGAGTGGCGGGCGGGGTGGCAGGGTGGTGGCGGAGGAGGGCGAGGGCAGCGGGAGGTTGGATCGCACAGCTCCCGGTTTCCGGGAAATCGGCGCACAGCAGTCCCTAGCGTTGGGGAGGCACAGAACCCGGAGCGCAGGAGCGGCATGTACTTCTGCTGGGACGCGGGCTCCCGGGGGCTGCAGCGCCGGCGAGCGGCGGGCGCGGGGGACGCGGAGCTGCTGCAGACGGCCAGCGGGGAGCGCCACTCGCTGCTGCTGCTGACCAACCGCACGGTCCGCTCGTGCGGAGACAACAGCCGGGGCCAGCTGGGCCGGAGGGGCGTGCCGCGCGCCGAGCTGCCGGGTGAGCGCTGGGGACCCGGGTGCGGGGGAGCGCGGGCCGGGCGGTGGGCGCTGGCAGCCTGGGGTCCGCTGGGGCACAGGAGACAGGAAAAAGATGCTCCGCTCTGCCGGAGCGCAGCTCCATCGGTTTCGTTTTCCAGAGGTGGCTCGGATTGGTTTCTGTTTCCAATTCAAGTTCAAAGCGAAACTGAGAGCAGAAACTAACCTGGACCGCGCCCCTCTGGACTGAGATGTAGTTGCTTCCTCCAGCCTGCCTTTCGGACCAGTCCTCACCAGCACGCATCTAACTGGAGGAGTCAGTCTGACCTTCCAAACGTGGTTTGTGAGTTGGACACCTGTAGCTCTCTCAGAAATACCGTCGGGCATCTTTTTTCCTAAAATTAAAAAATATATAATAGCATTTTTACCATTACCTATTATTGCAAAAACACGGGAAAGAAAGCCTCTGTAATTCCAACACCCAAAGACAACTGCTAGCATTTTGAAGCATTTCCTCCTTGCCTTTTTTTAATGTATATATTTAATCTTTATGAAAATCATGTCACTATATAGTTTTGTATATGCAATGTTTGTATATGCAACTCTGTAAATTGGTGTAAATTGTGTTTTCACCAAACATAATAATGGCATGAACATATTACCCTTTTGTTATTTATGTTTCAAAAATATATTTTAAATTGCTGCATAACATTCCAAGCTCTGAGAGTACCACGATTTAATTATTCTCCTTTTGTGGACACTAGGTCATTTCTCATTAGGGGCTTTTTTTTTTTTGAGACAGAGTCTCTCTCACCTGGGCTAGAGTGCCCTGGCGTCAGCCTAGCTCACAGCAACCTCAAACTCCTGGGCTCAAGCGATCCTCCTGCCTCAGCCTCCCGAGTAGCTGGGACTACAGGCATGCACCACTATGCCCGGCTGATTTTTTCTATATATATTTTTTAGTTGTCCAGATCATTTCTTTCTATTTTTAGTAGAGACGGGGTCTTGCTCTTGCTCAGGCTGGCCTCAAACTCCTGACCTTGAGCGATCCACCCGCCTCGGCCTCCCAGAGTGCTAGGATTACAGGCGTGAGCCACCACGCCCGGCCTAGGGGCTTTTATAATTAATACTGATTGACATTTTTGTAAGTAAATATTTTACCACATTTCTGATTACTTGCTTAGAATAATTTCAAGAGGTATGTGGAGGGGAAAAATTTTTCCCTACCATCATAGATTCAGTGCCTGGGGCGTGCAAATTTAACTGACAAGACAGACTAACAGAAGAAAAAGTATACGATTTTATTAATCTTTTACATGAAGGGGAATTTACATGCATGGGAATTCACAGAAAAGAAGTTAAACTCAAGTGCTTGGACTCAGGGACTTGTATACTGCATTTAATAAAGGAAAGGGTGTTTGGACTTTAAAAGATGAGAAATTGTGGGAAAGTGACTAGGAAATATATGGAAGATAAGGGTTATTTAAGTAAGAGTTGTTTATGCAGATTCACCTTGGTGTCAACTCTCTGTCTTAGGTGACTCTTCTCTTCCTAGTACAGAAGATGGGGAACATCTTCACAAAGGGATATTTATGCCTCGCTTTTAGGTAGATAAGAGTGGGGCAGAGAACTCTTCCTGCTTCTTTTGATTCACAATTGCCTTCAGCTCAAAATAATTCTTATGCCAAAGTGGCATATTTTTGGGTGGCATATCCTGATCCCCTTCACGCGGAAATTACGGGGAATATGGTACTTAATGCCAAATTGTTCTCCAGGAAGGTGATACCAATATCTACCTTCATGAGAGTATGAATCTTGGGGAAATTTTTTAGCATTGCGTAGATTGCAAGTGAATAGTTGAAAAAGATAAGATCACAAATATAATATAAAATCTTAAGTGTTATAAAAACTTTACTGGCAATGATGTTCTCAACTCCAAACCTCTAGTAATTCACAGACAGACACTTTGGGAAAATAGTTTAGATTGACTTGTAGGGAAGTATGATCAGGTTTTCATTTGTGGGCACATTTAGGGACACCATAGGGGCATATTTGTTCACTCTTCATTGCTAGAGGATCTGGCACTTGCCTCTCACACTCATGAGATATTGGCTTCTTGCCAATTTCCTTCTGAGCAGGGGTGTCCCTGCTCCCAATGTTCAGGGTTGGGAAGACAGAAGAGGAGAATGAAGGAGATCCCGTTTTCCCTCTGGGTCCCTTTATTTTGCTGGGTTTTGCTACCACCATCATAGAGAAACATTTGGTCAAGCGTCATAGTCCCTAGAGGCCCCAACCTCCACAAGGTCCACTCAACTAAATAGCAGCTGTTAAGCGATATACTTAGGGGCGTTAACATTTTTAAGAGTTTATTTGAACATTCAGTGATTCGTGAATAAGGCAGTACCAGACCTCAAGGGATTGGGCTGACAGGGGAGTGCCAGGAGATGCAAGGGGAAAACCTTCATAACAGCAAGACAAAATATTTGATTGGTTAAAGTGCAAAGTCTGGGTTAGTTGTTGGTTTCTCATTGGTTAAGCTTAAGTTTCATTTTCCTAGGGCTAGGCTATGACCATTCACTCTGAGTAGGGTTTCCATTTGGCTACAGAGGAACCCAAGGTGCTGGAGCTGTCTCAGGCTTATGGTCTCCCAATTGATCATTTTAACACAGCTGTATCCCATAAAGACAGGGTAACACACAATGACTTCCTCCACACATTTAGCCTGGACTTCAGGTCTTGATTCAAAAGACCATTGGAAGAGACAGGGAATCTGGGTGACCCTTCCTTTTCAAGGAAAGTGCTGTCTTAAACTTGTTGTTAAATTAATTATTGGGGGGGTGTTGTTTTGTTTTGTTTTTGTTCCCAAAGAACCAATTCAGGCATTGGAAACCCTAAATGTTGATCTGGTGAGCTGTGGGAAGGAACACTCCCTGGCTGTCTGCTGCAAAGGAAGGGTCTTCGCGTGGGGAGCCGGTTCTGAAGGGCAGCTGGGGATTGGCGAATTTAAGGAAATAAGTTTTGTACCTAAGTAAGTATTTCAATTCACTCCACCATTCATTCAATAGTTTTGAGTACCATGTGCCAGGCACCATGCAAGATGACAGAATACAAAGATAACCAACAAACACAGTCCCTAATCTCCGTGTAGTGGGGGGAGGAAGGCAGGAGAAAATTTACAGTACCAATTATTATTCAATTAGAGTCCCATGAAGGAAAAGGGTAGAGTCAAATGAGAAGAGGTGACCCCTAAATCTTAATCTTGTCTATTGGAACATAATTGTAGGGACCCACTTGGACCCCCGGAGTGGTATAAAGATTATTTTAAAGTGAAAACATTTGAGCTACGGAAGATGCAGAAAGAAATCTTATCTCAATTCCCTTTATCTGACTGAAGCAGAGCCTCCCAAAAACCCAGTTGCCATTAACCCCCCCTCAGGGGGAGATTCCTGCAAATTCAGCTGCGTGAAGACAGATTCCCCGTTACCGTTACCATTAAAAAGCCCAATAGAACCTTCCATTCTCTCTCCCTGAAAGTCCTGAAAACTCCCCTTTTTTGACATTGATGTATATAAACTTTCACTTTGGGCAATTCTGCAATAGAGCACATGTATAAACACACCTTGTCTTTTCTCTTGTTAATCTATTGTCAGTTAATTTGCAGGCCCCCAACGCTGGACTCAAGTTGAAAGAGGAAGTTTTGCTCTTAACATAACCTTTCGGCTTGTCATAAGCCACTGGGCCCTAATATTTCACTTAGTAAAATGGGGGAAAATATCACATTTCCTCACAAACAGCTTCCCAGGACAAGTGATAAGATTATCGGTCAGCTCTGAATTGTGCGTTTGTGAATTACGTGCTTAGGGAATTTTCAAACCCATACTTTTTAATACTAGGAAGTTACCTCTTGTTACCTCCTCTGGTCATTAAATTTCATGAGAGACCAATGTGACTTGGGGAAATGAGCATTTAACTTGGAATGAAAAGAACAGGGCTTGAGTCTAGTTTTACAGCTTGTGATTTCTTGGATTTCCGCTGGGTTCAACCATATGAAATTGTTGATAGTTATTGTTACCAAACTGAGCTAGGATCTGTGGGCCCAGTGCAATAAAGCCAGACACCGATGCCAAGATTTGCTGTGGGGGAAAATGGTGTTTCATTGCATGGCACCAAACAAGGAGAATGGGCAGCTGATGCTTAAGACCCGAATCCCCTGATAGCTTGCAAGCAAGGGTTTTTAAAGGCAAGGGTACATTTCAGGAAAGCAGAAGTTGCAGGCAAAATTGTAAATCAATACACAGAAGTTATACATTGATTTGGCCCCAAAAGGCAGGCTATCTGAAGTGGGGGCTTATGGGTCATAGGTGGATTCAGAGAGTGTTTGATTAGCGATTAGTTAAGGCCTTGTCTAAAAGTTGGGGTCGGCGAAAAGGACTGTTAATGTGGGGATGGCTCTTTCTGGACCCCTCAGGGAGAAATTTACAACAAAGAGCTATGGTGAGAGTTCAGTCCTCAGTTCTCCCTCATCTTTGTTTTCCACCTGGTGGGGGGGTTCTGAAAAACAACTCCAGAACATATGTTAAGATGTCATCTTTTAGTTTCCAGAAGGGGACTGTTGTTATTACTGTCTTCTTGCTTATAAGGTTGCTCATTTACTTTTCAAGGCTATCTAAGTGCCTAGAAATTCCCTTGAAGGGACTCAAGATTTTTCCTTTATTTACATGCCTTAGTGGGAGAGGGGTGACTGGCAGGCCCCTAAGAGGGGTCTCTGCTCCATCTCATTATGTGTTTTTGATCCATAAAAATGGCAATTTTGTATGATTCAGCTTAATGGTTTCTTTATCTCACAGGGCTTAAATTAGATGATGAAGGTGTTGGGGTTCTGTAACTTCTAAAGCCCTATACTATATATGTATGAAGGAACTTATTTTTCTATTAGACCAATAAGTATATAGTAAAAATTGGTACATTATATAATGTATTAAAGCCCAGTAAAAATCCCTTTTGCAATATATACTGTTTTGGATTCTGTCTTGTACCTTTGTGCATGTCGATGTCATGTTAAAAACTGTTTGAGGGCTCTAGAATAAAGGTACTACAGAAATACAAGCAGATGAAATTGTTTTCCCAGGCAAGATGTATTACTTGAGATTCTTTTAAATATCTGTAGTTCACTTGGAAATTCACCCTTAATAAGGATTAACAGATTTTATATCATTTTTGTAATAGGAAAATAACAACTCTGACTGGTATAAAAATAATACAAGTTTCCTGTGGACACTATCACTCCCTGGCATTATCAAAAGGTAAAAAACACTTTTTGAATCTCTAAGTGTCATTAGGAAGTAATTTTTTGAATAGGAATGATAACTATTGATTTTTAATGCATTAGGGTTCAATGCATTTAGACATTTTTAACTTTCCAGGTTTTATAAGATATGTTGTTCTAATTTTTTTCCAAATTTCTTTGTTCTTATGGTACTCTAAATAGTGCCTAATTCATGTCTTATTGCCATAAAGGGCTCTCTCTGTTTACATGACCTCCTAATGATTAGGGTCTGGGGGGCTGAGAATTAAATGAACAAAAGATAGATTCACAGAGAAAAGGAACCCAATTTTTATTAATATATTTGAGTACAGGAGTTCACAGAAAGTGAAACTAAAACAAGTGGTTAGATGCCCAGTGATGGGATTGCTGGATCAAATGGTAGTTCTACTTGTAGGTCTTTGAGGTATCTCCAAATTCTTTTCCACAGAAGTTGCACTAATTTGCAGTCCCACCAGCAATGTAAGAGTGTTCCTATCTCTCCACATCCTCGCCAGCATTTGTTGCTTTGGGATTTTTTAATGTAGGCCAATCTCATTGGTGTTAGGTGATATCTCACTGTGGTTTTCATTTACATTTCCCTAATGATTAGAGATGTTGAGCACTTTTTATATGTTTGCTGGCCATTATTCTGTCTTCTTTTGAAAAGTTTCTGTTCCTGTCCTTCGCCCATTTATCGATGGGATTGTTTGATTTTTTTCTTGTTGACTTTTTTGAATTCTAGATAGATTCTTATTATCAGCCCTTTATCGGATGTGTAGAAAGCAAATATTTTCTCCCATTCTGTAGGTTGTCTATTTGCTCTAATGACAGTTTTCTTGGCTGTACAAAAGTTTTTTAATTTGATGAGGTCCCATTTATTTATTTTTGTAGCTGCTATGATTGCTTTGGGGGTCTTCTTCATAAATTCTTTGCCCAGGCCAATGTCTGAAAGAGTCTTCTCTACATTTTCTTTTAGGTTTCTTAAGGTTTCATGCCTTAGGTTTAAGTCTGTTATCCATCTAGAATTGTATTTTGTTAGAGGTGAGAGGTAGGGATCCAGTTTCAATCTTCTGCACGTAGCTATCCAGTTTTCCCAGCACCATTTATTGAAAAGGGATTATTTTTCCCAATGTATATTTTTGTCTGCTTTGTCAAAGATTAGATGACCATATGCAGATGGTTTCACCTCCGGATTCTCCATCCTGTTCCAAAGGTCTATGTCTCTATTCTTGTGCCAGTACCATGCTGTTTTAGTTACTATAGCCTTGTAGTACAGCTTGAAGTCTGGTAGACTGATGCCTCCTAGCTTGTTCTTTTTGCTTAAGATTGCTTTGGCTATACGAGGTCTTCTCTGTTTCCATACAAAGTGTAGAATTATTTTTTCTCAATCTGTATAAAGAATGATGCTGGTACTTTGAGGGGGATGGCATTCATTCTGTAGATTACTTTAGGCAGTATGGACATTTTAACAATGTTGATTCTACCAATCCATGAGCAAGGTAGATTGGTGGTCTGGTCTTCGCAAATTCCATCAGAGTTTGTTTGTCTGGGAAAGTCTTTATTTCTCCCTCATAGATGAAGCTTAATTTTGCCAGGTACAGAATTCCAGGTTGGCCATTATTTTGTTTTAGAAGATTAAGGATAGGCACCCAGTCCCTTCTGGCTTGCAAAGTTTCAGTTGAGAAGTCTGCAGTTAGTCTGATAGGTTTTCCTTTGTAGGTTATTTGCTGCTTTCACCTCACTGCTTGGAGGATTTCTTCTTTAGTGTTTACTTTGGTCAGCCTAATAACTACGTGACATGGTGATTGCCTTTTCACATTGAGTCTCCCAGGAGTTCTGTATGCTTCTTGTATTTGGATGTCTAGATTTATGACCAGGCCAGGCATATTTTCCTCCAGTAGTCCATGAAATAAATTTTCCAGCCCTTGTGCATTTTCTTCTTCTCTCTCAGGAATGTCAATGATTCTTATATTTGGCTTCTTTACATAATCCCACATTTCTTGTATGTTTTGGTCTTGTCTCGTTTCTGTGTTATTTTTCTTTGTCTGATTTGTTTAGCACATAGACTTTATCTTCAAGTTCTGAGATTCTTTCCTCTGTGTGATCCATTCTGTTCTTAAGGCTTTCCACTGTGTTTTAAAGTTCCTTGAAAGCCTCCTTCATCTCCAAGAGTTTCGTTTGGTTTTTCCATAGTATTTCAATTTCTTTAGAGAAATTTTCATTCATTTCCTGTATTGGTCTTGTGGTTTCTTTATGTTGGGTTTCTATTTTCTCTTCAATTCCATTGAGTTTGCTTACAATCCATATTCGGAATTCTTCCATTGTCAATTTAATCATATCATGTAAGTTGTTATCTATTGATGGAGATCAAATATTTTCTTTGGGGGGAGACTTTTCTCTCTCATCTTTCATATTTCCAGTGTTCTTTTGCCGATTCTTTGTCATCAGGCTACTTTGTCAAGAACTGGGGGTGCCGGGGCTGGCTTATAGCTTTAACTCTCGACCCCTGAAGGGACGTTCCTTGACAGTGCTGGGGAGATACGCTCTGGTCCTGTATTGCCTTAGAGGTGTTTTAGCCTATTGGGTTGTCTCTGACCTGCTGTCTTCACCTCTTGCCGAAGGAGATTAGTAAGTTTGGACCCCTTGCTTAGTCTCCCAGGTGGTGAATCACTCTTGTGTGAGTGACTCCACTGAACTCTGCTAGTCTGAGATGGAAGGCACTGTGTTGGGCTATAGGGTTACCCTCTCTTTTGTTGCTTGCAGTTTGCGTGGAGGAGTCGATCATCAAGGTATTCCAATACCTTTGTTTTGGGCTCTAAACCCCCAAATGGGGTATACCAGCACCCCACTCTTTGGGAAATGACTTGTCACTCCCAAGGGTTACTTGAGCCCTGTTGCTGCTTTAGGTGGGGTAAGAAGAGCAACAGGTGCCTGTGAGCCTGAGAGCATGTACTTCTGCGGTTGCTGGATCTGCTGCTAGGGGAGAGCTGCTAATATGTTATTCAGGGCTCTTTCGCCACACTTGCCAGGCAGCTCCAGGTTGGGGGTGTCAATTGGTGCAATTGCTGAGGACGCTGGCCAAGATTTTCCTTCCCGGACCTTAAGCCCCAAGGCTGGCAGCAGCCTGGGCGCCAAACCTGAGCCGAAGTGTTATGTTCTTATCAGATGATCAAGACCAACCCACTGGTCCTATTAAACAGTCTGTCCCCTTTTGCTTAGTTCCCAGGTCCCACAGATTCACCCCAGTCACACAGAGAAAGCAATTTTTCTCCTTTCTCCCTGCCTTCAAGGGTGTAGCCTGCCCTGCCAGGCTGGGGAAGGGCTGTTGCCTGAGACCACCGAATGTTCTGGTCCAGAAAACCTCTTCTCTCGTTTTTCCCCTTCTCCAAGGGCAGGGTCTGCCCTGCAGCAGGGGAGATCAAGCCAGTCTAGCTGCAGAACGGGGGAGAGGCGTTGCCAGAGGCCGCTGCGCGGGAAGCGGCTTCTCTCTTTACTCCGCCCCTCCAAGGGCGGGGTCAGTCTGGCTGGCGGGAAATGCAAGCAGCCGGGCAGGGGGTGGAAGCCTGCCCCGGGCCGCCGCGGGTCTGGGCCAAGAAAGCGGCTGCTCTGGTTTCTGCGCCCCTTCAAGGGCAGGGTTTGACCTGCCGGCGTGAAAAGGCAAGTGGCTGCGGGTGGAATGTTTAGAAAGCGGCATCTCTCCTTACTCCGCCCCTCCAAGAGCGGGGTCTGGTCAGCGAGAGGTAGAAGCGGCCAGGCCGCGGGCAGCTCCGCCTTCAAAGCGGCCTCTCTCGTTACTCCGCCCCTCCAAGGGCGGGGTCTGGTAGGCCTGAGGCAGAAGCGGTTGGGCGGGGCCACGCTCCTCCGAAGCCGCGGGTTCCGGCTTCTCTCATTATTCCGCCCCTTCAAAGGCAGGGTTTGACCTGCCAGAACGAAAAGACAGGCGGAAGGGGCGGAATGTTCAGAAGCGGCTTCTCTCCTCGCTCCCCTCCTCCAAGGGCGGGGCTTGCTCTGCCGCGCAGGGGCAGCGGTGCCGCCTGAGTCCGTTGCCTGGGCCTGCCCTGCTGGGCTGGAGAAGGGGCGGCGCCACAGCGCTTTTAGGCTGTGGACCCCAAAATGGCGGCCGCCCGCCCACGGAGAGCCAGCACCGGAGGCCACTGCTCGGGGAGCAGCGGGCGCTGGGTCTGACATACTGTCTCAAGGAGCCGCCAGCCGTCCCCTGCCGCACTGAGTCGCGCCCGTCCAGTAGGGAGTCCCGCACACTCCACCCCACCCTGCGCCGCCGCCTCTTCGGCGGTTTCCAGGGGCAGAGCCTCTCCCTCGGCGCTCACCTCCCTTGGTCTGGATCCCGCGGGCGCCAGAGGCGAGGAGCCTGTCCCCAAACTCCCTCCCGCGGTCCGGGACGTGTAGCCTCAGACCTGCCCCTCCCCCGCCCAGTGCGGACCCAGCACCCGCACTGGAGAGTCCGAAATGTCCCCCGACTTCGTCTCTTCTCCGCACTGCCCGGCAGCCTGTGCCTCAGTTTCGCACTGACTGCAGACACTTCCCTGTCTGAGTGGAGGTGGAGGTCCAGGGAGGAAGAGTCTCCTCCTGTGGGTCAGACCACACTGCCCAGCCGGCCAGCGGGCGTGGCCGTCCCCGCTGTGTTCCCTATTCTGTGTCCCGCGCTCTCCAAACTTAGCCTCGATTCTCCGATTCACCTTTTTTTCCCCAGCGCTGCTTGTCCCGCGCTGCTTCTCTGCAGATTCCCGACGCTGTTCCTGTGGGAGAGCGATCCGCGCGTGCGTAGCTGTCCGCGTTCTTCGCCGCCCACTCTGGGAGCAGAGAGCCAGGAGGCCGCCACCAGTCCGCCATTTTCCCCCCTCCTACACCCAGCTTTTAGGCAGGAAAGGAAAGCGCAGAGAACTGTTCCTGCGTCTGTTGATTCTCAAGTTGCCTTCAGCTCAAAATAATCTGTATGCCAAAGTCGCCTGTTTTGGGGTGGCATATTCTGATTCCCTTCAAGGGACATGTACCATTTGTGTATTCCTCAGGTGATGTCTTACGCATTATTACAACTGTGGCCACAGCGACTACGGAAAGCTGACATTTATTGGTCACCTTCTGTGTGCTAGCTACCATGTTAAATGCTTTGCATGTATGTCATGTAATTACCTAACAAACACAGGAGCTAGGTATAATTTGGATCCTCACTTCAGCAATGAGAAAAGTTGGGCTCAGAGATATTAAATAGTTTGCCCAACATTACGCAATATTAAATAAAAGAGATGGGATTTGAACCTATACTTGTTTACATCCTAATACTAAGTGCTTAACTGCTAAACCACACAGACTATGAGACCAAGGCATATCCCATGGGTATTGTGTGATTGATTCCTTCTACCTGCCATGTGTAGCCGTTTTGTCTTGGGCACGTTATTTAACTTGGCTGAGTCTTAATTTTCTCATCTGTAGGAATATTGATGCTTAACTTATAGGTTACTTAGAAGATTCAGAGAGATAAAGTACACAGTATACTTTGTACAGTCCATAGCATATAGTGGGGGTATAATAAATATTAGTCTCTTCTCCTTCCTCATGTTGCTTCTTCTTCTTTTTTTTTTTTTTTTTTTTTTGAGACAAAGTCTCACTTTGTTGTCTGGGCTAGAGTGAGTGCCGTGGCATCAGCCTAGCTCACAGCAACTTCACACTCCTGGGCTCAAGCAATCCTACTGCCTCAGCCTCCCAAGTAGCTGGGACTACAGGCATGCGCCAACATGCCCGGCTAATTTTTTCTATATATTTTTAGCTGTCCAATTAATTTCTTTCTATTTTTGTTAGAGACGGGGTCTCGCTCTTGCTCAGGCTGGTCTCGAACTCCTGAGCTCAAACAATCCGCCCGCCTCGGCCTCCCAGAGTGCTAGGATTACAGGCGTGAGCCACCACGCCAGGCCTGCTTCTTCTTAATTATTGAAATGGGCCAGATATGGTGGTTCATGCCTGTAATCCCAGCACTTTAAGAGAGTGAGGTGGGCAGATCGCTGGAGGCCAGGAGTTCAAGCCTGGGCAACATAGCAAGACCCCGTATCTACAAAAAATAGAAAAATTAGCCAGGCATGGTGGCACATGCCTGTACTCCCAGCTACACAGAAGGCTGAGGCAGGAAGATCACTTGAGCCCAGGAGTTTGAAGTTGCAGTGAGCTATGATGATACCACTGCACTCCAGCCCAGGCAATGGAGCGAGATCCTGTCTCAAAAAAAAAGAAAGTAAGAGAGTGAGTACCTGGGTGGAGTGACAGGGTCTTTCTATTTTATAAGGAGCTCAGGGAAGATTCTTATAAGATGTCCTGTGAGCAGAGACCAGAACAAGAAGGCAGGGAAGGAGACAGGATGCTAACCATGGAAGAATGGTCCAGATGCAAAGGCCATGAGGTAGGGGCATGCTCACCCGTGTGCTCCAGGAACAGCAAAGGGTCTGGAGGAGGAGTGAGCAAGAGGGTGACGATGTCCATAAAGTGGTGGTGGGCAGTGCTGTTGACGTGGGGTTTGTGAGCTGGAGAATTGGCCCTTATTGAGTGAGATAGCAAGCTCCTGAAGCATTCGACTGGACTCAGATTTTTAAAAGATCACTCTGCCTGCTTTTTGGAGAACAGGCTGTTGGGGGCAAAGGAGGATTATGGGAGATCAGTGAGGCACTATTGTAATTTTCCAGGAGAGAAGTGTTGACAGCTTAGCCAAGGTGGTAACAGTTGTTAATGGAAAAAACCCAAACTCTAAGATAATTTAAAGAGGTTTATTCTGAGCCAAATATGAGTGACTCCTGGCCTGGGGATAAAGAAATCCAAGTAAATGGTCCCAAGGCAGTTAGGTTACAGTTTGGTTTTATACATTTTTAGGGAGACAGAAGTTGCAGGTAAAATTATAAGCAAGTACGTAGAAGATTTACACTGGTTTGGTCTGAAAAGGAAGAACATCTCAAGGTTGGGGGAGGGGTAGGTTATAGGTTATAGATTATAGGTTATTGGTGGGTTCAGAGATTCTTTCATTTGTAATTGGTTAAAGAAATAAAGCTTTGTCTACAGACTTTGAGTCAGTAGAAAGGAATGCTTGAGTTAAGATAAGGGGGGTCTGCCAACCATAGAGCAAACTACAATATCCAAAGTGATTGGTTAAATAAATTGGTAGTGTGCAAGTGTGACTTAACCTTTGCCTTGCATGGCCTTAGGTCCAGTTTGTAATTAGTTTAAACTCCAAAAGGGAGAAGGTTTTAGGAGGCATGTCTGAGCTCCTTCATGGCTGGGAACTCAGTTTTAAGGTTTTTCTGGGGTTTCCTTGGCTAAGAGGGGGTCTGTTCAATTGGAATGGGGTTTAGGATTTTATTTTTAGTTTATACAATGGAGAGGTGAGAAATGTTAGGGTAGGAACTCGTGGTGCAGAATGAGAAAGAATTCTTGACACAAAGATTAGGATAGAAAGAAGTAAATACTTTTTCTCCCAGAGAGGAAAGGGCTTGGCACAAGAAAGAAAGAAAGAAGCAGGGCTAGCCCCCAGGCTAAGGGGCTCAGGTTTTCTACGGGGATAAAGAGAAGAAAAAAAGATTGCTGCCAGCTGGCAGCGGAAAACAGCTGTGGAACGGCTGTGTCTGTTTTTCCTTTTTTCTTTCTCTTCTCCATGAGGTGGCTTATCAGAGTCCTTGCAATGTGGTCTGGCGAGAGCTGGGGATGGGAGGAGCCCGTACCCGTGCTGTCTGCTCAGGGCTCTTCAAGGCTGTTAAACAAACTCTCAAATAAAACTAAGTGACAACGTGTTTAATCAAACAAAGGGGCAGTTGTGCTGTGATCTTTCCCTTCAAAGGGGCAATGATGTGCATTGAGTTTACTCTTCTTTTTTCTTTCTGTTAGATAGTTTATTTTTCCTGTTAGTGTATTAGCAAGGCCATCCTTTAAGAAATGGTTGGATTCTGGGTAGATTTGGAAGCTAGGAGGTTTGTATTTGCTGGGTTGAAGGGTGTCAGAGAGGAGTCAAGGATGACTCCAAAGTTTTTGGCCTGAGCTGCTGAAGGAACACGGTTGCTCTTAACTGGGAGGGAGAAGAGTGGACATTGTTTGAAGGGACGTTTGAGGGTGACCTTGACCACCTCTTTGCCTTTAGTCATAATACTTTAATTCCATTTCCTTCTTTATTCCTGTTTTATATTTTAAAGATTTATAGAATTAAATAAAAATAGAAATAGGAGGAAATCCTGCCATTTGGGACAACATGGAGGAAATTGGAGGACATCATACCAGGTGAAATAAGCCAGGCACAGAAAGACACATACCACATGATCTCACTTATATGTTGGGTGTAAGAAAGTGAAACTCATAAGATCAGAAAGTAAGGGTGGTTGCCAGGGGCTGGAGGGTGGGGGAAAGGGGCAGGTATTAGTCAAAGGGTACAAACTTTCGGTTATAAGATGAATAAGTTCTGGAGACCTAAGGTACAGCCACGTGACTATAGTTATTATAATCATACTGCAATGTATACTTGAAATTTGCTAAGAGAGATCTTAAGTGTTCTTCCTACACACACATAAAAAGGGTAACTCTGTGAGGTGGTGGATATGTTAATTAGATGATTGTAGCAATCATTTCACAATGTGTATGTATTATTAAAACATCATATTATATACCTTAAATATATGTAATTTTTATTTGTCAATTATACCTCAATAAAGCTGGGGAAAAAAAAGATTTGTACAATTAGGGTGGAAGTTTCTCCTTGAATTTGGTATTCCAATATGTGTGCAATTCTGAGTTTCTCTTTGTTGCTTTTGTAGACAGCCAAGTGTTTTCATGGGGCAAGAACAGCCAAGGGCAGCTGGGCCTGGGGAAGGAGTTCCCCTCCCAAGCCAGCCCGCAGAAGGTGAGGTCCCTGGAGGGGATCCCGCTGGCCCAGGTGGCTGCAGGAGGGGCTCACAGCTTTGCCCTGTCTCTCTGTGGGACTTCATTTGGCTGGGGGAGCAACAGTGCAGGGCAGCTGGCCCTCAGCGGGAAAAATGTCCCAGGTAAGGAGACAGTCTTCTTCTTGCACTCAATCATTATTTCTTTCCAGGTGGAAGCCCAGCTTGGCAAAGGGCAGTCTCAACGGTTAAAACAGTGGTTCCAGAACTTTGGGATACATTAGAATCACCTGGGGAGCTATATTAATTTCCTATTGCTACTATAACAAATTACCACAAACTCAGTGGCTTAAAACAACACAGATTTATTGTCCTACAGTTCTGGTGGTCTGAAGTCTGATGCGGGTCTCATTGGGCTAAAGTCAAGGTGTCAGCAGGTCTGCCTTTCTCCCTAGAGGCTCTGGGGGAGAATCCATTTTCTTGCCTTTTCCAGTTTCTAGCCACCACCCGAATTAATTGACTCATAGACCTCTTTCTTCTTCAAAGTTAGCAGTGGCTAATTAAGTCTTTCTTAAGTCACATGACTTTGACATTGACTTTTCTGCCTCCTTCTTCCTCAGTTAAAAGACCCTTGTGATTACACTGTACCCCACCTGGGTAATCCAGGCTAATCTCCCCATTTTAAGGTCAACTGATTAGCAACTTTAATTCCATTGGCTCTCTGAACTTCCCTTTGCCATATAACATATTCACAGGCTCTGGGATTAGAAAATGGGAGACCATTATTCTGCCCACCATGGGATCCTTTTTTTTTTAGATGGGGTCTTGCTATGCTGCACAGGCTGGTCTCAAACTCTTGGGCTCAAGTGATCCTCCTGCCTCAGACTCCCGAGTGGCTGGGATTATAGGCATGTGAGAATCCCAGGATCCTTTAAAAGTTCCAGTGCCCAGGTTGCACCCAATACCAACTAAATCAGAATGTCTGGGTGTAAAACCCAGGCATCAGTTGTCATTAAAGATCCCACAGGACTGCAATCCCAACCCCTGGGCTGCATCCCAGTACCAGTCCATGGCCTGTCAGAAACCCAGCTGTGCATCACCACCTGAGCTCCGCCTCCCTCCTGGTCCTGTCCATGGAAAAATTGTCTTCCATGAAACTTAGAAACCAGGCAGGCCTCACAGCAGGAGGTGAGCAGCAGGCCAGCGACGAACTTCATCTGTATTTACAGCCGCTCCGCATCACCACCTGAGCTCTACCTTCCCTCCTTCCCCCTCCACCATCCTTGGAAAAATTGTGTTCCATGAAATTGGTCCCTGGTGCCAAAAAGGTTGGGGACCACTGCCATAGGTGATTCCAATGTGCAGCAAAGTTTGGGAACCTCTGGACTGGAAGACTGCTAGCATTAAAGGAAACAACCTCGAAACGAAACTCTGAACGAAACTCCTCCAAACAACCAGTTCTCCTAAATACAAAACTCACCAAGATGTCATCCCCACAAACCCCATCCTCCTCTGTTCACTTCTTTACGTTTGGCTCACACATAGCACCTGCTATGTACCAGTACCGTGCTGGGCTCTCACACCCCTTTCATTTGACCATCTCAGCATAAGGTAGGTTTTTCTTGTTATCTCAATTATTATAACATATTTGCAGGGCACCTACTGTGTGATAGAAATGTGTGAAAGTCGTCAGAAGCAAAATGGAGTCCCTTATGTCAAACCCCAATAAAACGGAATCGGGAGGCCATGAAGGAAGGGTACTTGCGCATATTTGCCTGATAACAAGAACTGTTGAAAAATATTCTGCTGAAACCACAAACTTGCAGTTAAGGCCCCTTCTACAAGAACATCTTTCCAGTAACAACCTTTCCTAACCGCAGCCTTGCAAGTAGCCTTACTAAATTGCAACCTTGCAGTCAGGGTCGCTTCTGTGAAGATGGTCTCCTAACAATGGCCGGTACACATGTCATGGCCTGCCATGAGCCCCTGTAACCAATGAACTTCTGTTTCAAAACAACCTGCAGGTACTTCTTCTTTTTGCCTTTAAAGGTTTCCCTTTGCCTCAACCTCCCTGGATAGGCCCATGGCCCACCATGGCACACACGTCCTGGACTGCAATCCTCTGTCATTCATTCGTGAATAAACTCTTTGCTTTGAGAACCTTGCTGTTGTTATCTTAGGTAGACAAATGAATATAACATGATTTCGGTATTGTTAGGGAAGAGGGTCTTGAAGCTTAGCTTTTAAGGTCAATAGCATTCCAGATGGTTAAATAGCTTCCAGAAGTAAATGTTAAAGGACCACTTTTTTCCCCAAATCAGGGTTTCTCCTCTGTTTTATACTCTTATTGTTCACTTTGTAAAATTATGTTAATGAATTATAAGAATAATAAAAATATAAAAGATAAATATAAAAAGGTATAAAAATATAAAAACTCACGAAATCCAAGTTTCCTATGCTCCAGAAATTCTGCTTTCTTTCAACAGCACAGAGCAACAAGCCTCTCTCAATTGGTGCACTGAAGAATCTAGGTGTGATTTATATCAGCTGTGGTTATGAGCACACTGCAGTGCTTACCCAGGTAATCCAGAATGTGCTGCAATTTTTTAAGTTCCATAGAGATGTTAACAAGGTACATGTACAAATTACTGTTGTAAGTAAGAGGTCTTAGTATATTTGGGCTGCTATAACAAAATTCCATAAACTGAATGGCTCATAAACAATAGAAATTTATTGCTCACAGTTTTGGAGGCTGGGAAGTCCAAGATCAGGGTGCCAGCAGATTTGGTGTCTGATAAGGGCCAACTTTCTGTTTCATAGACTATTGAATTTTCACATAGTGGAATTTTTGGAATTTTTGTCAATAGTGGAATTGACAAATATGTCCTCACATAGTGGAAGGGGTAGGGGTCCCTCTTGGGCCTCTTTTGTAAGGGCACTAATCTCATTCATGAGGACTGCACCACCATGACCAAATCATCTGCCAAAGTCCCCACTTCCTAGTACCACCACATTGAGGGTTAGGATTTCGGCATATGGATTTTGGGGGCACACAAACATTCAGATGGTAGCTTAAAATATATGTCAATATCCAGACATAGTTATTCAATGTACAAATATCTAAAGAGGAGAAGTGAACCAAATACAAACCATGAGATTTTTCAAGCTCCTATAGCAAAAGCTAATTTCAGCTTTAGGAAATATTTTTATGCTTCTACTAAATTAGATTAATATAGGAACTAATCCTGCTAAGTAATTATTTATTGACAGTGTAATTCTACAGATAAAAATTATTATAGAAGCAACAAAGTAATTTTTATAGTTTTCAGTAACCCACTTTATTGTTTATATATTTATTTTATTAAAAAAATTTTTTTAGAGACAGAGTCTTGCTTTGTTGCCCAGAACTCTTGGGTTCAAGTGATTATCCTGCCTCAGCCTCCTTAGTAGCTGGGACTACAGCTGGGATTGCAGCCACTGTGCTTGGTTTAATAACCCACTTTATAGACTAGAACATACTTTGTTTCATTTCTTGGGCGACATGATTATGACCCAGCTTCCTGAATGTTTTCCTCCCCTTCTTGTCCTGGCCATACAATATTTTCCAACGGGATGGATTCTTTCCATAGCCATAAGGAATAGACTTGAAAACTATTTGTGTTGTTGAAATGTTTGTTTAAAAACTATATACACGAAATGATTTTTATTGTTTGTTTTAAACACATGTCTTAAATTAGAAAACCTTCAGTTGTTTGGATTATATTATTCTTAGTTGCAAGGAGAAAGCTAGTTTCTTTTTTTTTTGAGACAGAGTCTCACTGTGTTGCCCAGGCTAGAGTGCCGTGGCGTCATCCTCGCTCACAGCAACCTCAGACTCCTGGGCTCAAGTGAGCCTCCTGCCTCAGCCTCCCAAGTAGCTGGGACTACAGGCATGCGCCACCATGCCCGGCTAATTTTTT